GACCCCAACCCGAGTGGTGGAACCGCCCCATTTGCGCCTCCCCCATGTAATAAGAATTATTAAAAAATACATTTTCCGCAACGCGCGAAATTTTCTTTTTGTAAATCATTTTCAGGGTTGCCACGCTTTTACTCATTTTAAATTCCCTGACTTTTCCAGGTTTTCCAGGTTAAAAAACGGAATTTTTCCAGGTTTTTAAAACTACATTTATATTTTACAAAATTTTTAATTCTAACCTTTTTGAAATTAAATATGTTTTATAATAATTAAAAATGTGGGACTGATAAAATCATCATTTTATACGTATTATAAGAATATTGTTACTGTAACTTATTCAAAATTACTTTTATTATTTTAATTCAATTATTGTTTTCCACAATTTCTAACTAAAATTCTTCTTTATAAAGTGTAAATTAATTATTATTAATAATTTCTGAAAAATTTCTTTCAACAATTTCAAATCCTTTTGTTTACAATATTCAATTTTACGAAATTTCATCGATTATTCAGGTATTCGGAAATTCTTCAATCAAATATAATATATTAGAAAATAAAAACTTGAAATAACTTCAAAAAAATTCAATTCAACTTTTACAAAAAAATGAAATCTACACAATTTTAAGTTAAAAGTATGAAAAATTCAAACATTCAAAGATTATAATTTGAAATCTTTTCAAAACTCAATTATTATCTAAAGTTTTAACTGAAATTCATATTTCAATCAATTATTATTAGAAAATTCTACGACAATTCAATTATTTAACCCGTTGCCTGTTTCCAACCCACGGGTGGGTCGTGAAAAAGTGTGGCCTTAACTGTTTCCGACCCACCCGTGGGTCGTGTTCACTATGAGTCAAAATAAATATAATTTGTATATAAATTGATAGATATTTTTCTTTATATCAATATTATAAGAAATTATAAGGGTCATTAATGATATTTTAGAAAATAATTGAATAATTAGTTATAATTTAAATATATTATACTATTTGAAGAAGTATCACATTCCGCTGGGCAGTTTGGGACAATCATGTTGTATTTTCCTCAAACAGTTAAGGGGTTAAATACAAAAAAATAATTTATTGAAAAATTGAATGGTTTTAAAAATTCAACTCTCATTTAAAGAATTTTATCAACAATTTAAGAATAATTTCATTTTTCGAGAAATTAGATTAAAAATGTATTAAAAATAATTGAATCTCTGTAAAAAAATTTCATTGAATTGAGAAAAGTTTTTGAAAATAATTGAAATTTTGTCAAGAATTTTGTTAAAATTTTTTTTAATAATTGAAATATTGCCAAGAAATTTATTAAAATTTTTAAAAATAATTGAATTTTAGAGAAAAATTTTAATATTTATAAAAATAATTGAAATTTTGACTATAACTTTTTTTAAACTTTTGACCATAATTGAATTTCTGCTAAGAATTTTATTACTTTTAAAAATAAGTGAATTCTTAAGACGAATTTTTTAATAATATTTCTTTTTTAAATACCTAATTATTTTTAATACAAAAATAAATAATTTATTGAATAATTGAATTCTCATAAAGAATTTTATTAACAAATTTTTAAATAATTGCATTATTTTGACGAATTTTAATAAAATTTTAAGAATAATTACATTTTTCGAGGAATTCGACTAAAATTGTATCAAAAATAATTGAAATTCTGCATTGAGTTTTATTATCTATGAAAATAATAATTGAATCCCTGTAAAAAATTGTATTACATATTTATAAAAATAATTGAATCTCGGTAAAAATAAATTGAATATTTTCGAAAATAATTGAATTATTGCGAAGAAATTTATAAAAAAATTTTTTTTAATAATTCATTTCTTTTGGAAAATTTTATTAAAATAGTAGATATATTTAAAAATATTGACTGGAGGAGAATTTTTGAAAAAAAATTGAATTTGTTAAAAAGAATTTCATTAACATTTTTGAAAATAATTGAATTTTGGAGAAAAATTTTAATATTTATAAAGATAATTGAAATTTTGACGATAAATTTTTTAAACTTTTGATCATAATTGAATTTCTGCGCAGAATTTTATTACTTTTGAAAAGAATTGAATTTCTTTGATGAATTTGAATAAAATTTTTAAGAATAATTATACATTTTTCGAGAAATTCCATTAAAATTGTATTAAATATATTTGAAATTTTGCGATGAGTTTTTATTATTTATGAAAATAATTGTAAATCTATAAATTTTTTGATTATTTATGAAAATAATTGAATTATTGCGAAGAAAAATTGTAAAGGCAACTCTTTTAAAATTGAATTAAGAAAATTGAATTAAAGAAAAATTAGATTTCAAGAATAAGTACAATAACTTTAGAAAACAATAATTTTCCAGGATTCCAATCAAAGTTCCCTGACTTTTCCAGGTTTTTTCAAGGTTTATAAAAATTCCCTGACATTTCCAGGTTTCCCAGGTTTCCAGGTTGCGTGGCAGCCCTGATTTTACATTGAGACAAGATTACAAAAAAAAATTGACGCGAATCCGAGTGTAGGAACCACCCCATTAGCCTCCCCCCAAGTAATAAAAAAATGATTTTAAAATACCGTTTTCGCTACGCATGGAATATTTTTTCTTAAAAATTAAATTAAATCTCACCAAGAATCTAGAAAAAATAGTTTAACCCTATCCGAGTGGGGGAACCACCCTAATTACGCAACCCCCTAGTTAATAAAAATTCTACAAAAATACGTTTTCTTTTACTATTCGCGAAATTGTTTACCATGATATCAATTTACATTATACTAAGAGGGTAGAAAAAAATTTGATCCATATCAGAGTAGGGGAAGTGCCCCATTTGCCCCCCCCCTTTATGCAATTAAATTTTTTAAAAAATACAATTTTTACTACGATCGAAATTTTTTAGCTGGATTCTTGTTACTATTATGCAAAATAATCTAAATGTAAATAATAAGTTATTGCAATTTTGTATGATAAACTTAAATTTTTAACATACATTACTTTTTATTTATAAATTTATTCATGCAATTATTAAAGGAAAATAATAACATTGTAATCAATTAAAACATACTTTATTGTCTTATATTTTAAAAATTGTAATAAATTAAAGAATAAATTTCTGTTTTTTCATTTACATACTATATTTGTTATTTGCACACTTTTTTGTTCAATTTACATATAAAACACTGTTTTCTTTTCTTAAAATACAAAGATTCATTTTTTATTTTTTTGTGATTGACGCCTGCACAGTTTACATTTATATTTATCTAAGATATCTTTATTAACTCTTTTATTTGGCCGATAGTTAATGTTTTCTTCATCATCAGAATTAATTTCTCCTTTATACGCACATTGTTTGTGAACGTTTACACTACATTCTTCACAGACAATACATTTTTTGTCTTTAACTTTAAATTCGCAATAAGCACAATTTTGTGGTCCTTTTTCAGCACAAATAATCAACTGATTAGCAACATTATTTCTAAACTTAAGAGGGTTGAAGTTTTCTTCCATTTCTGTGTCAGTTGCAATACTATCCAAATAGTACTGGATGTAAACTCCACAGTTAGACCCATCGTTTACTGGTTGATATGGTCTTCTTTTTACGTATTGTTTTACTTCAAATTTCCCTTTTTTAAATTTTCCAAAAGAAGAATTAACGTCGCAAACTTTTATAAATTGATAAAATGCCTCTACCACTCTGTCTTCATCACTACCTTGCATATAAGGATCTATTAACGTTATGAACAATTGTTTTACATTAACAAATAGTAATCTCCAATGTCCAAGGAACAAGTAAGGCATTAGAATGATATCATTCAGAGGTTTATTCATTTTATAAAATGGGTGAATGGTATCCTTCCTTTTATTATAAAAATCCCCTAAAAATATACTTGTATTATCAGTTGGAATGTAAGTAATATTTTCTGACCAAAATTGTTTTCTACACACAGAATAAGAGTCAATGATTTGCCCGTCAATCCAACCTGAATCGTTTGTAAGAGATTTTAAGTGCTTGCAAGTAATATGAATTTCGCTGGTTGTTGAAAATACACTATCTCCAAACGTGAATTTTCCAACTATTATGTAATTCGATTTCGAAGTAGAATAATATTCTAAATTCTTTTTCTCATTTTGAGAATATTCGATTATATTATCGCCTATGTTTTCTACTACACATTCTTCGTGAATTGTTTTTTGACGTTTTTCTTCTAAGTGTTTTCCGTTTTCATTAATTATTTTCCTTTTCCGTGAATCAGTTTTCTCATTTTTAAATATTTCTTTATTTAGATTGACTATTTCTTTTTTTTTCTTCAGGTCATCAACTTCGTAATTTGATCCAGTCAGTTTATTGTTACTAGTTTGAATAAATTCTTTTCTTACAAAATTTTTTGTGCCGTGTTTAGATACTAGTCGCTCTGCTTCATTTTCCTCTGCTGTTATTATTTTCTTATCAATGATTTCTTTTACCAGTTTCGTCAAAGTTTTAGCCGACGCATGATTAGCTTTTCTTTGAACCGATTGTTTACCTCTTCTCCACACGTCAACAGTTAAAGGATTAGAAGCTGTATCTGGATAAGCTGGCTTTTCTTTTCTTTCTTAGTCATTTTTATTCTCGCATCTTCCCCCAGGTTACATTCTGCTACAATTTCATCAACATAGTCTTCAAGTTCCCTAATGACTTGTCCTGCTGCACAATTTTTCGCTTTTCTAAGATAGAATGTTTTATTGTTGCATTGTGTGTTTCTACGTAACTATTACTAACGCGAGAGATATTTTTATCAATAGTATCGAGCATCAATGCTCCACAAATAGAAATGAAAGGCATATACTCCAGTGTTAAATATTCTGCAAATCTAGGACAATAAAATTTATTCAAATTTTCATCGTTTTCATCATCGAGTAAAGCTTCTTCTTCATTGTATTTGTTCTGCAATCTTACTAATTTTATATAAAACCGTTTATAAAATTCTGATTGGGTAAATACTGCTTTGCTGTCTTTATAAAAGTACTCGAATTCTTTTTCAATCTTATATTCCTCTATAGCATTTTCAATAACTTTTACTTCTTTGTAAACACTTTTCATTTCATCCTTTATATCTTTTGTTATCATGCCGGAGAGAATGAGAATTGACCTATTAGCTTTTTCTGCATCCTTCGTTAACAGAATGTGTAAAATATCTTCAAATATAACGTCTACTTCATCAATAGTTCGACTTAATAATAACAAACTGAATATGTCTAGAACAAAACTTTTCTTATCTTTTAAACGTATATAATTTTTGTCTATAGTTTTGATGTTCGATGCATTACGTGAGCAAAACACGTCAATAGGAATGTTAAGTGGTTTGGAAGGTCTTTTTTCTTTGTTAAATAATCATAAGTCATATTAATGTAATCAACTACTGTCATTTTATTCCACTGTAATGTTATGGCGTTTATTGATGCCCAAGACCAGTCGACAACAATAGCTTTAAAAAATGGCCATTCAAATTTTTCTTTCAGAACAAATTCTTCAAAATCCATCAAAAATTTGCCTATAGAAAAAGCGTCATGATTCACCGTTAACATCTCTATTGCTGGAATTTCGGATTCATTAACTTTGCACACTATGCAATAGTACATGACTTTATTGCTAGAAACGTCATCTAGTTTCCTAGCTATGGATCCTGTAGAATCACAATGCCCAATTCTAGTTGATTTATTATCGACTATTGCTTGTAATTGCCGTTTGCTATACATGACTGTTCTCAAAGGTACTGACACATTACGAAGATAAGGATCATCTTTTTTACTTTCATTTATACACAGCTGACATAAATCTGAAAGTACTTTATCTTCCAAAGTTAATCGATGTTTACTTTTATCTTCTTGTCTGATTTTGTGTAGCGTTTTTATTTTCATCATATTTTGTGGATGACCATTTTGCCACATATCTTTGTTTAATGATAGTTCTGTCTTCAATTGAATTTTTCTAGCAGATTGATGTTGTAAAAGTCTCTTCATTTCATCTCGTTGCTTACCTCTGATCTGTTTATACTTTTTTGTTGTGCCATCATGTGAAACTAACATTTTTTATTACTTAATACTCTCAACGTTGTATGTTTAAGCTCTAAATCTCTTATTTCACATTTAAAATGTTGTGAATGAATATGATTTTGAGAGCAAAATGCGTATATAATAATTGTATTTTTTACACTGTTATTAAATCTAAAATTATAAAATGTTAAACTACATGGGCATTCTAAAATTTCGAAAAAACATTTCTTAATAGAACCATATATGGTATCTCTGTCATATGTATCCGTATTACTTTTCCACATTTTTTGATCGACTTGTACTTCACCTATGAACTCTTCATATTTTATCCTTTCTTTTTTGCTGTTTTACTAGTTTTTTTCCATTTCTTCTTTTGCTTTACTATTATCTTTCTTTTCTATCTTGTGACATATTTTTCTTAATTTCTCTTTCTTGCTGTACTCATCACCATCAGCATCTTCATTATATTCATCACCATCTTCATTATATTCATCATCATCGCCATTCTCATCATCATCACCATTATTTCATATCCATCATCATCACCGTCGTTACCATCACCATTATTATCTTCATAATCATATTTATCATCATATTCATCATCATCGCTACCTATACTAACTATTATCATCATCATCTTTAACACAATACTTCTCATCATAATCATGCTCACTATTCTCATAATTAGTAGTCTCATCATTGACATTAATTGCATCACAATCTCTATTCTCAACGTTTTTATTATTCTGACAATAATCCTTATTTTCACACTCATCATCACTAATTCTATCAAAACAATTCTTAACATTTTCATTTTATCGTCGGTTGACTTGTTCCAACTATGCTCATTAACATCACTCTCATTCGTTTAAACTCATTATTTGTTGTACTATAATTATCATAATATAAGCATCAATATCATTAAAAGTACTCCCCTCATTATTATTCTTCTTTTTTTTCATTATTATTTATACTATTAATATCATTGCGACTACTCTCATTTTAACCATTTTTGACAATTATTAAATCACTATTACTCTCAAATTTATCGTCCTCTTTCATATTTTTATTACAACTATTTTGGTCAAAAGTAATTTTATTTTCACGACGTACATCACACCACCTTTTTTATTGCAACTATATTTATTTTCATCACACTCATCAATAACATTCTCATTGCACTCATTCTTATTATCATTAAGGTCTATAATTTTATTTATTTTTATCCATTCTTCTTGATGAATTATGATTTTTTCCTTTCTTGTGTCCCTACTTTTGGAAATTTGGAAGAATTTCTT